GAAAAAGGAATCAGTTACCAGTTCCGTTACCCTCCCCTGAAAAGTAACTCGTTACCTTAAAAGTTACTGAAAAAAGTAATTAGTTACTGTAACGCGTTACTTTTACTTCGTTACCTCCCAACACTGCATATGCAGCAGTGATTATTACCCTTTTTCGGCTGCGACCCTAATGCTAGCTGGGCATGGTTATTATAAGCTTAGAATCCAAGCTGCCTTTTTGCATTTTTTGCCTTTTGCATTTAAAAGACTGATAGGCGGAAAGGCATGTTTGGGTAGTATGAGTGACCAAGACCTAGACTATAAAGGGAAGTTCGGACAGTCACTAGAGACCCTTAGCGGCTCACTCAAAATGGCTTGGCCCAAATTGGGTCGCGACCTAGGGGTTAAGAACCACTGATATACAGGGAGTCTTGTTGGTTCAAAAGCATCTTCAAAAGCATCTTCAGATTTGCTTCGTTGCTTCTCTTATCAACAATGAAGTGTCGGTGATTTTCCACTCGAGATTTCTTACCTCTCATAATTCGATGACATCTGTCACTTTTACAAGCAATATATATATTGGAAATAAATACAACCTGAAGCTCCTGCATTACGATAGGGGTAAACCAAGCTCGCAAGAAGGCCAATCGGGTCAGGCAAGGTCAAATGTTCGACAATTCTTTCTTTACATACATTTCAAATATAATACTATTTTTAACATATTCGCAACTCAAGCATAGAAATATTACCCGAAATTCACATTTCTCTGCTATCGTTAAAGAAAACAACTAAAACATGTCCTTTCAATATTGCATGTAGGGCAATAATTTGTGATTGACCATTCAGTAGATATTGAAGAGACGCTTGAGGTTCTAGGCATTAAAAATCCTTTCCTGCTTCACCGTTCAATACATCGCTCAAATTGCAGGTTCAAAGAAAAACTGAGTGCTCACCAAGGACATGTGCTGAGTGACCTTAGGAGGGAGAGAGAACTGCCTGAGGACTGTTCGCGCCATCTATGTTATTGACTTGACATGTAGGCGACAGAGAAGCATGCAAGTCACGTGGGAAGGAGGCAACCGCCATAAAAGCATGGCGATGTCCAGTGTGCACGATCGTCTAATCTACTTGAGTCCATCGTATGGCTTATGTACGGGCCTCATAGTGGAATACGGAACCACGGATCGCGATCCGACATCGACTCAGACGTCTGTTAACTGAGGCAGAAGTGCGTCTTGCATCAATGTTGTCACAGCTGTTGTAATGGAATAAGGGAGGGCAGATCATGCTGCAGGCGTATGTGGCGTGGGCCGCTGGGTTTCTGTTCAGTTCAGTTTCTGTTGTTGTGGGAATGCACTTCGGGTAAAGGATAAATTTAAAAGTCCATTCTGGTTTTTCCCCTTTAGGGGAACAAAAAAAATCAAACATCTCAGAGGGGGCCAGTCCCACCTAATTCATATATTAACTTAGGTCTCTAATAGGGCAGGTTTGGATTTCTTTATCAGAAATCTGTAACTATGAAGATTGGATTTTCAGACCCTGAAACACAAAGGATTCACATGCATAGCAATGCTGAATCAAGGATAGCACTATTTGATTTCCCACACAAAATATGCAACACTCAGCTGTGAAATAAGTGAAATACACACCCTTAGTCTAGCCTCTGGCCCATGGCCCCTCAGTTTTCTTTGATGTTCCCATGTCATCCTGTATTTGATCCTTTTTGATTCCTGCTCATTTTCCAGATTAGCTGGAGATATGAAATGGTGTTGGGCCATGGTTGATCAATCCTGAAATCAATCCGCCAATGTTAGGCCAGTTAATGGATCATCCACAATCAATCCCTTGAAAAGTCAATTCCGAGCAGCAAAAATGCTCCGTCAGGTGGTTCTTTCCGGGCTGTCAACTTTGAGGACCCTTGCACAAAAAAAAGTTTGCAGAAACCTAGAGCAATTTCTCCTGAAAGGTGCAAGCACACATTTGGGTCTTTTGCAGACTGGATGCATTGTTAAAAATATTAGCTCTTGTGCTGGCCTAGCTCAGATATCTACTCATAAACTCCTGTTTCTGAATCATCAAGTTTCCAGGCTATACTTGCTGCCTTTGAGCTCACCATTGCAAAGGAACCTCACTGAAATTCGACATGGTGAACCTCTTGCAACCTTCAAAGAGATATGGGATGATGAGACTGTGCAAGAAAAATATCCTTGGCGGCGAAACCCAATGTACCATTACCATTTCAAGCCTCCTGACTTCAACAAGAGAAGAAAGAAGAATCCACTTGGGAAAGGTATCCCATTTTGCAAGGGAATAATACTGAAGACATTAATTAAGAAACCGAAGAAGCCTAATTCTGCCAATCGGAAATGTGTCCTTGTGAAACTGAGCAATGGGAAAGAAATGCTTGCTCATGTTCCTGGTGAGGGGCATAATCTTCAGGAGCATAACATTGTTTTGGTTAGAGTTGGACGCCTGCAAGATGTGCCTGGAGTGAAGTTGAAGTGTGTACGTGGAGCATATGACCTTCCTCATGTTGTGAAAAAGAAGTAAAGGTTGTACATTTTTGCAAAGGTACTAAAGGCATGTTCATGCATTTTCCTGTATTTGATGCTTCAACACTGTGGTTTTTAGATTGACCAGAGATGAGGCCACTCTTCATCTCATGTTCATTCATTTCCTGGTCAGAATTTTTCAGATATAAAATGGGCCTAAGCTAACCAGTGTTTCATGGTATGTATACAGTACAGAAGAACAAGTATATGGAATATTATGAACTGGGGTTGGTTCAGATACTCAAATTGTATTAATACTCAGGTTTATTTAGGCCTTAAGTAACCTTTGCAGCATATAGGAGGAATGATATCACTGCCAAAGTACTTATTTGGCCCAGTGTGTTTTCCATGAAAAAATGTCATCCTGAATATTCCTAGTACTCCTTGTTTAGCTCTGACAGACAACAGCCAGGTGCTAGGTACATGTTCTGGGTTTTTTTTTTAGTTTTTTTTTTTAGGGATCTTTTGTAGATTATGCAGTCTCGTTTCTCTTCCATTAATAGAGGAATGCTGATTCCATTAAGTCCTCAACAAATTACATATATTTTGGGTATTTTTGGACATGGAAAACTCTGAAACTTGATATAAAACTCAATGAAACAGTCAAGCTCATTGTGAACTCCTCAAGTCAGGAGTATATATTGCTTTGAAATTGAGATTTCGTGCCAGTGAGACTTGATGAAGCCATACCTTGATAACCCTATGTTGGCAGCCTTCATATGAATATGAATCCATTGGTCAATTTACCAGAGATACTTTCCAATTTCCATATATTTTTCATAGGCTGCTGTAAGCTCTTTGCCATTTCTTTGGTTAAATTGCTAGTGTCATGAGAATGGTCGGAAGATTGGATGGCAGGAGAGGACGAAAGAAAGCCAGGGGACGGCTGGGAGGCAGGTGTGCTACCACTACACCACCGAACACGGGACATTCAATCGAACACGGGACATTCAATCGTGCCTCTCAATGCCATCCATATCATTACACTATTCCCTCCTTAAGGAAGTCTGGACCTCCAGACTTAGTGCACAAATGACTGCCACGCCTTTCGGATACTTGGGTGGTGAGTACATGGGAGTATACACAAATGTCCTCTATGGGACCAATGTCCTCTACAGGACTATACAATGGGGGCCTCCCCCTCAACTCCACCATGCCTCCTCACAAATCCACCCTCACTACTCGTGCCACGGTCAGTCAGCTTCCAATGCATTACAGGTTCCTTTACTTCTGACACCAATGTCATGAGAATGGCCGGAAGATTGGATGGCAGGAGAGGACGAAAGAAAGCCAGGGGACAGCTGGGAATTGAACCTGATTGCCGGTCAGGTGTGCTACCACTACACCACTGAACCCGGGACATTCAATCGGGCCTCTCAATGCCATCCATATCATTACACAAGCATTACAGACTCAAGTTATCCAACATTTTGATGAAGGGACACTTAACCAAGGTTATCAGAGATCCTTGAATTCTATATGTTGTCTTTGCATTATCTTGAGTATGTGTTTTATAGTTCTTGTATAGACTTAAAGGATTAATGGCTTATAATTTTTTTAAAAAAAGTCAATTAGCGACCCTAATAATGTGGTACAATTGTATGTAATTTGCGTAGGCTTATATTTGCATGTCACAAACGGTATACATATACTCATCAGGGTTTTTGGTATTGCACAATATGCTCCTGTCTTCTCCCATCAATCCAGATTCTTCTGGTTTTTGGAATGAGATGACCATTTTTGCAAAAGTGATATAGGGATGGGGAATCAGCTTTCAGGTATAGTTCCCTCCCAGATCCATGCAGTGGAGCATTATTTTTCAGATCTGCCACAGCTCCATTTTGACAAGAGGTTTGTCTTCTTTTTAAAGGAGCTTTGGTAGTTTTGTTGGATGAGATATGATCATTTCTACTTTTGAATTTCTTAGTTTGGGAAGCACAAGATTCTTGAAGGTAGCCAGGGCTAGATCCAGAGATGGTCTGCTAACTGTGAAAGTCTTTGTCATTTTGGACCCATCACTACCCCTTCGAGTGTATCAGAAGCGGCTTGATGGTAAGCATGAAATTCCTAAGGATTTTTAAGTTCTCTTACTATCTTATCAGCATATATTGAATGAACTGGGAACCATTTTCTTTCATTCTCAGAAATTCATGAGGTCCTGGCAACCTCATCACATTGTCTCTGTTACAAGATCCTCACTGTAAGTTGTATGAATTCATGAATGAATTGATTTTGGGTCTGTTTGTTTTTCTTTTTTGCCTCTTGGAATCATCCTTTTTCTTCTTATTTTGCAGGTGAATGAAATTTGTACTATCATCACCCGCCAGTACATAAAGTTCAATCTGTATGATCGCATCAATACTAGACCATTTCTTCTTCCAATTGAGAAGCTGTGGTTGGCCTACCAAATCCTGATTGCTGTCAGTCAATGCCATGCTGTGGGGGTCAGTGCACTTTTTTTTGTCAAACCCTTTCCTTTTTGATAGACATTGGTTGGGGTAACATTTAGGAATGGCCAAACATAAATTTGTGGTGAAGTCTGGGATAATCAACAATTTTATGCATGAAGAGATCACAGTATTGGTAGGTCTCTTGAAGAGAGTTATGCAGTGGTCAGTTGATCAATTTGCAGTTAGGCATACAGTATGTCAGAAGTGAGTGTGAGTCAAATAGCATCATTCCAGGAGTTTAGTGAAGAAAGATTACTGAGTGATTGACAAAAATGACCAGTTCTAACATTGGCAATTCAAATGGAAGACTCTTCCCAGTGTGCCACTCTCATGTTCTAGCTTTTGATTATTTAGTACAATATAAGGTGTATTTTGGAGAGTATAGTAGGAATCAATGAGTTATCCAAAGTTCCTGTCATCAATTATGTCTGCTGTCTCCCATGAAATGTAGGCTTGCAAACTTTTGATGGTCATTTTTCTTTGCATAGGTTTGCCATGGTGATTTGAAATTGGAGAATGTAATGGTGACAAGCTGGTTGTGGGTATTCCTGGCTGATTTTGCCTCCTTCAAGCCAACATTTCTCCCTCTGGATAACCCAGCTGATTTTGCATATTTCTTTGATACTTCTGGGAAAAGGAAGTGCTATATTGCTCCTGAACGGTTTGTGAGCTACTAGTGTCTGTGTTGCAGTTTCAGTTTGACCTTTACTTTTTGATGAACATATGTTTTTATTTATTACTATACATAGATTCAAAGACATGAGAGAGGAAGAAACTAGTGAAGCAGAGTTGATCTTGTCTCAGCTGGTGCCAGAGAGCCAAACTTCTGATGATCTCGTTCCCTCCATGGATATCTTTTCTGTGGGGTGAGTGCTGCAATATGGACTTTTCCTATAAATTCTTTTATTATGTAGAATTGCAAAAGAGGGTGGAATAGATAGGGAACCAAGCTGTACTGAGGTCTAAATTAATTCTCCTCACCTTAACCATTAGTAGCAGTTTTTTTTATGCTTTAGATGCTGTGGATAAAGGATTGGTCTGGTGGTTGTCTGATGATGAACTAAGTATAGAATTCCAGCCTATGATTTTTCAACTGGTGATAAAAGTTTTTATGTGGACAGAGTCTTGCCTGCAAGGATTTATGTGGAGAATTCCATTTGAGACCTGATAAGCTTCACTATTAGTTTTGTGCCATTTGTCTGGTTCCCCAAAGAATCAATGTTATTGTTCATGTCTGCAATTTTTTTTTTAAGGCTGTCTTACCAAATAAAGGAATGGTCTATGGCTGGGAATAGAAGGCAGCACTGGTGTGAATGTTGCAAGGTTTGCATTTGATGCAGGGTTTCCAGTAGATTGAATTGCTGAGTTACAAGAGACTAGCAGATTAGGACATCAGGTTTTTCTTTGAATTATTGCTTGACTGTTGTTGTTCATGTTATGTCTTGTATAAAATTAGTCCAAAGCTTGCTTCAATTTACCCTCAAGGCCATATTTTTTAATGGATAGAGATGTAGTCATGTATCCAGTGTCTCAGAGTTCCTGTCACATCTCTATTATTTGTTTTCTTAGTGAAAGGCTTTCTGAATTTGTTTATTACAATGATAGTTCATGGTTTTTCTTTCAGCATCTAATCTGAATGCTGTCTGTTGTTCTTGTTGTGAGGATACCTTATATCCTATACTTTGGCTTTCACTAAAAGTATTTGAAAAATGAAACTGTGAGAGAAATTCTGGGACACCTTGTATTTTCATGGTAAACCCAAAAAAATGTGCTTAAACCCATTGGATTCTCTTGTCTCCTGTCGTCATCTATTGAATCTTTGCACTAAATTCTTTTAATGGAAAAATCTGAATCCTATGGGTTAATCTTACCTCCTCATAAGGCTGAATTAAGGACATATGAGTATAATGATTTGCATTGATTTCTTAACTTCATGAACATTTTACAATATTTTTTTGGCAAGGAAATTCTCTCATGCCCTTAATTTTGCTGTGGGAAAAGATTATTGAAATTAATTTGTAAGTCACATCAAGACCTTTGGATTAATGAAACCTGATTTGAAATATATCATGCATTTTCTTCCAGCTGCATGTTAGGTGAGCTGTTCACAGAGGGTGATGCACCTTTTCACTTCAGTGAACTTCTCATCTACCGTTCTGGACAGTATAAACCAGACAAGATAATTGATTCCATTGAAGACTCCTCTGTCAAGGTAAAGATATCGCTATCACAAAGGGCTTTCATATTCATCAAAAGTTACCTGTTGATCTCAGGTTAGGCCTACATTTATAAATTACATTTCCTTTCAACAGGAGATGATCTCTCAAATGATTAGCTTGGATCCAACAGTTAGGGGAACTGCTCAAGAATATCTGGAGAAATATCGTGGAATCCTTTTTCCCAACTTCTTCTACACCTTCTTTTGGGACTATGTGTCTCATACATTCCTATCTCCATCCTACTCAGCTGATGATCGAATTTCCAGGTGATGGATTCAGATCTCATCAAGCAAAGCTGAATCTTAGCATCTGTGACTCAGCTATTATAAATCTTTTTTTTTTTAGGCTCCTAGAAGATGAAAGCAAGGTCATGAGTGAACTGGAGAAACAGAGTGATGAAGAGAGACCACAATGTGCCATTTTAGTAGCAATGCTAGCTACTTCCTGTATTAGGTATTTTACTTGCCTATTTGATCCTGGTTAGGTTGCTCATTATGCCTACTGTGCTTTTGCTGCATGGTCTCACATTGTTTTCTCATAGGGGATTGCATTATGGGACATCAAGGTTAAAAGCATTAAAGGTTCTTGAGGGTCTTACCAAAGTGTTGGCTGATGATGTCATCTTGGATCGGATCATCCCCTATTTGGTGTGGATTCTGAATCCTTAATCCTTACTTGAAATGATCTGAGAGCATGATGGAAACAATATGATTCATTGTTTGCAGTTAGAGCTGACAGATGATGAATGGAGCAGAGTGAGAAGTGCAGGGATTGAGACCTTATCTCGTGTCTTGTCCTGCATCAAGACCATTCCTATATCTGATGTCCATATATTCCCAGAATACATACTCCCTGGAATTGCATTTGCACCAAGTGATCCCTCAACTCTTGTTAGGGCAACCTTTGCAGCAAATCTTGGGCTCCTCGCCAAGACCTCTATGAGGTAAACTCACCCTCATAGGTGCATATGTGACCCACCCTGTTAACCCTTTGACTGCCGAGGATTTAAATGCCCAGCCAACCTCTCCCTACCAAACAAGCTCGTGGAGGTTTGTCGCACGAACACGCCATATGGTGTGAATAGCAGTGAAAGGGTTAATAAGGATCTCTGCTGAAATTTGATAGATCAGAGAAACATGAATTCAAAGTTGAGCCCCAAATGGCAGGGATTCAACCTGTAAGTCTTGTGGCTTAAGTTCCTCCCCTGAGCACTGTAAGCCTGATGTGGTGACTGAGTAAAATTAAGATATCCATTCCTTTCTTATTGTGAAACTATGGAACCAAAGAAATTGTTGGCTATCAAGAAACATTGAAAATGAGCTGAAAACAATATTTTTGAAGCCTGATGATTTAGTTTTTGAAATATTAATGCCAGATTCACATGTTTAAAATTTTCAGCACATTAATGACACGACATCTATAGACTCTTAAAAGAAACCCCTCTTCTTTTGGATGGTCACTCATTATGATTCCAATCTATATTTTAAGGTGATACTGATGTTTCTTTATCCAGATATCTGGAGAGCCTAACTAGAGAAGGAGGAGAGACAGTTGAAGGAGATATTGCTTGGCTTCACAATTGGTTTCAAGCTCGTTTTACAACCATTCTCTGTGATACAGACAATGCAGTCAAGATTGCTCTCTTGCGGAACCATCTTGTGGATCTGTGTGTCTTTTTTGGACGACCAAAAGGTGAGTTTGAATTTTGGAAGTTTCTGAAGAACCTGATGATAGTTTATTTATATTTTTTATATTTTTCTTTTCATATTTTAGCTAATGATGTGCTCCTGTCTCATATTATCACATGCCTTAATGACAAAGAGGACTCATCTCTCAGATTGGCATTCTATGAGACCATCATTGGGATCACAATCTATGTTGGCTCTCAGAGTGCTTCTCTTCTCAAGCCCCTTTTGCTCCAGGTCTTCATCCTTCCATCAAGGCAATAGCTCCTAATTCTCTGAGAGGTTTGAAGTCATGAGAATACTTATTTCTGCCTTCAGGGCCTCAGTGACACAGAGGAGTTTGTGGTGGTGAAGGCAATCGAAGCCATGGTTGATCTCACTGAGCTGGATTTCATTCCTAGAACTGGAGTGCTAGACTTTTTGCGTGAGACCATCCCATTTCTTTGCCATCCCAATCTCTGGATCCGTCTCGTAAGTGTTTTTTGTAAAAAAATGTGCAGTAATGTATTTGAACTATGACCATCGTTAATGCTATGAGGACCTGCTGTTTTTTTTGTTTATTACTACCCTAGGGACGTGCCATTTTATTTTTAAAAAGTGTAGTTTTAGCTTAAGTCTATTGGGTTTCAAATTTTCTATTACCATTGGAAGTAAATCCATACAATGCTAATATACTATCTTGGCCAAAGCCAAGACCCAACCATGCAGATTCTGTACATTGCTGTTGCCTCACCTGTCAGTTTAGTTTTTGAATCCACCTTGACATGAATGATGACATGAACACATCCTGGTTGGGAAATGCTACCAACTGATCCACATGCTATAACAATATGCCCCACAATGGGGCAGGGGTAAAAGTAGCAGGATTTAGACTGGACTTTCCCAGCAACTGCTATATAACTAACATACTCCCTTAGAAGGCAGTAAGCTCCCATAGTGCTGCCCTCTTGCAGTTGACTGATGTTCAAGACTTTTGCTATTTATATCTGCTGCCAGGTGGTCATTTGGTTAGAGTCCCACAATGATGTTTCACCATGCCATGTCAACCATCTTGAGAATGGGTGGGCCTTTAAGACTTATAAGACTTTAGTCTTATAATACCATTGGCATATATAGTGTACAGGGTAGAGGCACCAGTTTGTGGATGGGTGCCTATTTGTGGACAGCTTTGCATTTTTTGACATTTCACAAAATTCATGCAGAAAATTTATTTCCTCAAATGCTCCATATTTTGCACTTGCCTGTCAGCCACCATATAAATTATGCATACCCATCAGCCTGAGTGAACTTGGACATTTTCACTCAGTTTTAGACCTAGCACCCCTGAATTCCTTAATTTTTCCAATGATATTTCTTAACAGGACATCATTGAAGATAAATATAATTGCTGTACATGTCTCATTCTCATATTTTTCTATTCAGCTTGTGCACATTCATAATTGTTGACAAAAACTGGTGTCCACAAGTTATGTCCATGGATGTTCACAAATAGGAACTACGTGAAAATAAGCACATATCCATTTAAACAGCAATTGTTGGAAAAGTATATTTTTAATATTTTATTTTAGGATATGGGCATCAAACTATGATAAGTGGCCTCCCATTGAAACCAATCAAGCGGTTTCTCGGTTACCCCAACGACTGTAACACAATTTTCTAGAGGAAAATTTCCTTAATCTGTCCACAAACTGGTGCCTTTACCCTATATGTATGTAGACAAGGGGAGCATTCAGAAAGTTTCTAGCCCTTTTTAGGTCTTTCAGGACCTATTGGGACAGCCCTAATGCTGACCTCTGCTCAAAAATCTACTTGGAGGTTATCCCCTCCAGGTTGAGGTAATTTATCTCTGCCCTTGTCTCAAATTTTTAGTTTTTAAAGAATATCAAAGTCACTTTGACAGTGCAATAAAAATCCACAAAAATTGTCTATTGCCACCAAAGATGATGGAACATTGGCAGTAAACTTTCAAGGAATCTTGCCACCTGGGAAAAGGAACTGTGCACTATGACTGGAAGTGCCTTGGGCTGAAAACTTTTTGAACACCTCTTGTATGTACTCCCATGTGTGCCCTTTTACAGTTTTAGTCAGTCATCATCTCTGCAATGGAATATAATGCCAAATTATTTACCTGTCATCCCCAAAGTATTATAGAGTCAACAGTTTTGCCCTTTGGAACAATCTCTTTTCCATAGGCAACATTGGGGCTAGTGAATGCATCAGTGAAGTCTGTACCTCCCATCTACATCCAATGCAAGATTTTGCCTCTCCTCATGCCATATCTTCAGTATGAAGTCTACCAGTTGAATGATCCTGTGAGTTACCCTTTTGCCTTCGTTGCTACTTGGTAATGATGTATAATAATGATATATGCTATTAAGTAGTGAAAAGGGGTACTCCACTGGCAGACTGTGATTCAGATTCGTACCTGCAAGCAATATTAGCAGAGCTATTCAATCATATATATTTTTAGATCATTCTTAAAAAGAAAATTAGGTTAAAACAAGGCAGACACTGAACACATTCAGCTACTGCTTAGACTGGACCATTAGGCTTTGTTACTAGGGCTGGACCATTAGGCTTTGTTACTAGGGCTAATTCTACTCTTGAAAGCTACATCCCCTTTGTTGGGCTTTTCAAGGTGGCAGCCACAAAAACTTGGTATGATGAACCAAAAGTCAACTTCTGGTCATGTACTTGCTGTGGCTGACATTTGTCCAATTGCACATCTTTTGTGAGGATATGCTGATATCCAAATTTAGTATGGCCATGATTGAGAACTAACCAGTACTTGTTTAAGCATGAGTAGGGAGAGTAAGCAATCAGGTGTATATTCTGGGTGCAGGAATGGTATGAGAGGCACCATTTGGGAGAGCTTGCTTACAGCCTGAGCAATGACTGAATTTTCCTACTGTTTCATTAACATATGCTATGAAGTCAAATCAGTTCAAAATTCACAAGATCACAAGACTCAAACATTTCACTTCAGTGTTTGGAGCTGATATACTGTATATGAGTGATTATTGTCATTTCATCCAGTTCTGTCCATTGAGGCAATATTCAGTATTTTCTAATTTTACTTGATATGAAAACTTACACAGTGGAAGAACTTATCTTCCTGCTTGGATATGGCTGATTGCAAGGGAAATTTGAAAGTTGTTTGAACTTGAGTAATTTCAAGTTTTTTATATAAATGGAACAAAAAGACAGTTGCCTGTTCAATTTCAATGTTTGATTAAATCAGAAGCTATATTTTATTCTGTTGATTATTGGTATATTTCCCTTTGGTCTAGGTAATCCTATGGACAGCAATATGTCCACCTATTCCCCGTTTGGTGTATGACAGCATTCTGCGATTCTCCGACATCTATTCCCTCGATAGTCTACTGCAGGCTGAACCCCAAGTTCTCCGTTCTACTTTCCCTGACCATGCAAATGTGAGCATTTGTAGCAAATTTTTACTGTCAGCTTTCGATACATCTGTGAGAGGCTGCTCTCTGATTGTAGCTCTCCTTCTTTTGAAGATATCAAGTCGACTCCATTTGGATCAATTGACTGCCAAAGGGAAGGAAATTCTTCTTTCCATGAAAGAAACCTTGGTCAAAATCCATCGGCATAAACGAACTGAGAAGAAGAATCCAGAAATGGACAGTGGAAAAATCAGAGTTGAGGAGCTCAAGGGACAGTGCAAAGTTCGGCAAATTGATCTGTCACTTGTGTCAGGGAATGAGCAACAGCATTCTAGGTGATCTGTCAGAATTATTGTCTAGCTCCCTTATAATGTCATGTTAGGAAATTTTAAGAGGAGGCTGCTGCCATGTGTTCCTGTAATAATCTCAGGACCTGCTATATCCAATTGGTGGTACATCAATGTGTAAATTTACAATAATTTCTCAGGCTATTTGATATGACATGAGAATTTTGCTTGAATAAATTTGTATTGAAAGATGGTTTATGTTTATTGTTAGATCAAATGGCTTTGGAAGACAAACTGAGTAAAGAGAAAGGAAGGTGACAATGACAGGGTATCAGTGCAGTTACAATGCCAAGAGAAGTCTGCATGGCTGTTCCTCAGCATGTTCATGCTTCTTTGGAAGGATAGGGGAATAAGCATGTATTTGCATTATACTTGAAACTTATTTCAAACTTAATGTGCTATGGGTCCTTTGAGCTGTGTCTGAATGTTTCAGACTGATGATAGACAAAGGAGGTGGTGGATCAGGTCCTGATGGTACCATGAACCAAGAGTGGCAATATATGTTTGGAGCCACAGATGCCAGTGATGAGCCTCCAAGTCAGTCCCTGTGGAAGAGTTCCTCTGCATCACAGTGAGTTGTCATTGCTTTCCCTTCTTCCCTTTCCATGTATTCATTATTGATGATTTAAAAAAAAATTCTTTTTTTTTCCTCTCTTGGCAGATCTCTAGAGGAGAGCATTTTGTTAGCTAAGCCCATGGCACGCACCATGGATTCTCTTGAGAAGAAAGAGAAGAGTCTTGACAGTAATCACTTTGAAGAATGTAAGGACTGATAGAACGAAATCTAGCTCCCATTTTTGTTTGATTGCTATGCCGTATATTCTCGTCTCAATTCCTATTACAGATAGATGTACCCAGTGTAGAGGGGAGCTGCAGCAGCTCTTGAAAGCTAAGACAAAAATGTATGCTAGTGCCTCCTGGTGTGTGGGACATGGCATTGAAGAACGAATCTCATCACATGTTGTCTCTGATGGATGGAAGCCTGCTGGTCTCCTGGTTGCACATTTGCATGAACATCGTTCAGCAGTCAACAGGCAAGCCATTTCCCATCATGGCTGAAAGTTGAAAGTGCAATAGAATACTTTATGCAATGGTAAGTATTAACCCTTATCCGGGCAAGGTATTTTTGTGACACAAACGGGCAAGGCCAAACATTTTTAGAATTTTTTTCCTTAAAAGCAAATCCAAACTTTAAAAGTTCGTTTCTGAATCTATGGATGACTGTCTATGAAACCCATATCAAATTTGAAAAATATTTTGAAAAATTTGCAGAGAGTAATGAAATGAAATATACCCTGGGGAGTCCAATGGACTCCCCTTGCCCGGATAAGGGTTAAGCTTAATTTTGCAGTTGTAAACTGTGTTCCTTTTTATAGGCTGTTGGTTTTACCACCAATGGGGAGTGCATCATTGTTCGCAAGTGCCTCCAATGATGGATCTGTTCGTCTTTGGGATGTCGGTGAGTGGTGGTCTCTATTTTGAAGTATACACCTCTGATATATGAACTGGGCTTAGATAATAAAAATCAAACCATAGATTCATATGGTAAAAGTACTGAAGCTGTTCACGGAAAAGGAGTTAAATTTCATTCCATAGGCCGGATGGAGGGTCAAAGTATTGTGAATAGGGCAAGGCAGGCTTATTCAAGGTTACAGGCTCCTATCAAAGCACTGACATTTTGTGCTCAGCAACAAGCAATTGCAGCTGCAGGCACCAATGGAGAGATACACCTCTTTCAGTGAGTTCCAGGATATATTTGGTTGCTCTTTCTTTCTTTGATGCTGGAAAGAGATGGCATAAAGATAGTTTGCTGTTTCAGAATTGAGAGCCATAGCAACAAAATGGTACTTCTTTGGAGTCGCCAAGTGAACTTGGACTCAGAGGGTCATGTATCAGAGCTCCTCTACATTCCATGGAACTTCCTACTCATATATGTCACAACATTTGGAGTCATAGGTGGCTGGGATCTGCGGATGGGGCATGAGGCATTTCACCTTGAGCAAGACATCAGGCATGGTTAGCAAAGAAGCTCACTCTGAACTGCCTCCTTATCTTAGGGACCATAGAGAAATCACAGCTTGTGTCCTGTTGATTCCCATTCATCAGGATCATGCACGTGTGCATGCATGGATTCGAGCAGTCAATGGGTGACAGTTGGAACCAGTTCAGGAACCCTTGTCAATTGGGATCTCAGGTTCCAGCTCTCTCCTGCCATCATTCCTCATCCTGCCCGTAAGTAGAGGTGCCCATGCATGATTGAAGTCCTACAGCCACATTTATCTCTCCTCGCTAATATCTGTTAATTAGCAACAGCTCATTGCCAGAGATGCAATGTAGAAAGGACTGGTTTTAATCATCCTTTATTACAAAATGAGAGTGGAGATTCAGCTGTAGATACATTTTTAGCACTTCCCTCCTAGGAATGCATGATGAGAGGAAATCAGAAAAAAATTATTCATGATATTAAGTCTGTTTATTAATGTTTAATCAACTAGATGTAGACAAAGCCTAGGCAAATCAAAGTGAAAGATATGATCTATTATTGGTACCAAAATATCTCATATCTGAAAACCATCCCTGAAGGAATTTTTACCCCCACCCTAGAATTTGGAGATGATAGCTATTATCTTACTAATGTCAAGAAAGAAGTTAGAGTTTTTGAGAAAGATTTGTCAGGACCTGATTCTGGTATGGACAAGGGGGCCTAATGGTGTAATAAATAAATTATTATATATATAATTATTTATTTCATGGTTGAACACTCAAGGGAACCACCCTCAAGGCCTTGCCACCATGCCAAATTTTTGCCGTGTAAACTGAGACTAGGAGTCTTGTCATTCCAAAGAGCATTATATGTATAATATTCTTCTGACAATAAATGTAAATTCTTTTAGAGCTAGCAAATTAATTCCTTAAATATGTGACTGTGTATCAAATATTACTCTGATATAAGAACAGATTACAGCAATTTGCCATACCATACCTTGTTGCTGAAGCATATTTTTCCTTTATGAGTGAAGAAATTTTTCTGAAAGTTGGCTGGAAACCACAGTCAGCAGCTATCAACAAGATGATAAAGTGGGCAAAATTTCTCTGCTTAATATTCAATAATTGAACTACTAGGGTGCTGTCTAAAGTGCAATAATTCATGTCATGGTACCATACTTCATGAGATTTAAGGTTGTAAATTTAAGTAGGCTTGTAAACACAATGGTGAAGACCAGCTTGATGGTCAGAGTTGCACACACTCAGTTTGAGGAGATGTTACATGACCTATGCTCAGAGAGTGACATGTAGCAGCAAATCTAATCCTGTTGAACTCACTCAAGGGGAATAGGCCGAGTTAGATATTTTTTTGTTCTTGACATTTCTGCAGTCTCATGGTGTGCATGTGGCCTTTTTGACACATTTGTCCTCCATTCTTGGAATAATTTGCATCCAGCTCGCTTTTGAAAATGCTCACCGCCCATAGTCAAGAGAAAATAGCGTTTGTTTTTCTTCTGCATGCCTTTATTCAAAGGGAGACTGACAAATGATCATGTCACATCTCATACTTCAGCAATGTATTGCTGGAGAGTCTGGAGTGTCTCATCGAACCTGGAAAAAAAAAGAAGAAATAATCATTCATTGATGACCTCCTTTATGCCAATTGAAGATGGATAAAACATCAGTTTTATCCATCATTTTGAGGCGGAAAACGTAGTCACGACTGATATCAATATTGGAAGCCCTTTGCATGAGAGGGAGAGAAAGACCGACCGTTCTTGAAGGTCCATCCAGGAATCGAGGGATCTCTCGGCCCTGTCATGGTCCCAGGTAGCGCGATATCCCCAGTTGCCGAGGGATGGGGAGCCCAGGGCGGAGATTGGCAAAAGCAGCGGCAGAAATGTAGTCAACGCTGCGAACAACCCCTTAAACACAATTGAGAATAGCGTGATCCTCACCTGTACCTGTACACATATATCAGCTCGACCCACGAAAATACAGAAAAGTATGGGACATACCAGGGGACTCAAGAGAGGCAAACCTCCTCCCAATCCTTCAGACATAGAGGGATACAAAAAAAAGTTTGTTTTTTTTTTCTTCCCCGCAGAAAAATGTTAGAATGCTTCATGTTACAGTGAAAACTCGTAAACTCGAATCCCCGATAAGTCGAAATTCCGCTTATCTCGAAGTTCAATGCTTGGTCCCGACGGAACTCCATAGGACACCATGTTAAAAGCTCCGTTTAACTCGAATTCGCTCTCGAATTTCCGGATATCTCGAATGAAATTTTCACTCCCTATAACGATTTTTTCACGGTTTACTCGAATTCAGAGTGAGAAGGGGGGAAAAATGATTCTAGTGGGAATTTCGATTTTTGAATAGAATGAATGACAAGAAACCCGTTCGGGAGGATGCTCTTTTGTTGTTTTTTTTTTCTGCTTCTCCCTCCTCCCTAACAGACGCCTGTGGAGAGGATTAAAACCGAAAAGCTTTGGCTATGAAAAAAAAGCCTCCAACATTCGCACTGCCAATCAATCGCTCTCACTNTGTCAATCTATCGCTCTCACTCCGAGCCATTCTGTCCCCTATGTCCCCTAACGTGTTTTTTTTTTTTTTTTTTGGGGGGGGGGGGACGATTCCTGATAACTCGAAAAGATTTGCCCGGTCCCTAAAAGTTCGAGTTAACGAGTTTTCACTGTATTTCATGAGTCGCTTTTACGAAGACACTCACCTGGAAAGAGTCGGAAGCGCATGAGTTGATTAACCATTTCTACGATCTCGTTATTCTCCATCTTCCAAGTTTTTTGAGGGACGACGTCTAGTCACGCACAGTATGGGTGAAGTAGAGTTGGAATGGAGGAGTCCTCTATCCTTGTCGCGCCTGTAGACGTGTAAGGCGTGGAATGGCTCCTCCGTTCCTCAGCTTCGTAATAAAAAAAAAATCTTCGTTTCCTATTCACATCTCGCTTCTACCCTGTCACTTCTGATATTTTTGCGCCGTGTGTTTTACCTCGAATCCGGGAACGAGGACGTAGAAAATGCTGTTCATTTCTTTCGATGGCAGGCAAGGATGTTTTTCCTTGCTTCCTGGACTTATTCGAAACTGAAGAGCATCGCTCATATTTACTGCTGTAAGCGTAAACGTCTTCCAGTTGAACACTCGGGATGTCTTACTAATTTTTTTTCACCGGATGTATGAATTTTCCTTGGATTTCATTTCATTCCAGCGGAAAAAAAATAAAGAAAACGTGGTAGTGTTCTTTCAGCTTTTTCTCAATAAAATTAAGTTGTCCCCCCCCCCAAAAAAGAAGTTAATTAGACATGTCTCAAAAATGAAAAATCCGCCTATGTTTGGTTTTGTTTTGGTTTAGTGTTTGGTTTTAAAGGAAAGAAAGATAGGTTATGTATAATTTTATCTTCTGAGGCTTGGATTTCTCCGAGGATCTGGTTAGGAAGTCTGGGATGATGAGCGGAAAACGATTTGAGCTGAAGGAAATGAGAGGAAACCGTTCTGACAGCTCCTTCATTCCTTCCTGCCTGGCCTTCAAAGACTGACTTAGGGTGATTGCAGGTGAAACGGTCTTCAGTATGTCATGAGAACAGGAGACGGACATTTTTATTTGAGAGCGCTGGTACTTTCCCAAGTATCGTCCCAAATCGGCTTCTGCCCCAATCCTCGGAACTCACTCAAAACGGGTTCTCTCGTTGGTGACAGTTGAAAGAACCCCTCCTTAAACATTCAGGCCTATCATATCTTCAGAGTAGCTGTCGTAGGGAAACAGACTTGTCTCATTATTGCGGCATAGGGCCTGGTAGATTGGATGCCGATATTTCTAATCAGACCAGTGATGATTGATTGGATTTATCGGCTGCCAAACTGCATGGTTATTCGGGTGATTTTAGGCATGAAAAGAAGTGCGTCTTCAGGCTAATCGATTAGTCGAGGACAGGATGAGGCAAGTCCTGTGTTCCCTTGTCTCACTCATCCCCTAATTTATTTCCTTATTTCCTTTAAAAATAAAAAAGGGAGACCATTTAGAATCCTGTCTATGCGTGTGCCTCCCACTGTACCGACTTAGGTTTTCCGACAGTAAAAAAAAGTTGCCATGCCTTGAAAGGCAGTAATAAAAAAAAATTCATTTTCTTCCCTTGTGTTTTAAGAAACTAAGATAAGGAAATCAAATGACACAGATACGGGATGAGTTCCTACCAAACACAGACGTTTCATCGCGATTAGCTGTTTTTCAATTTGTTCGTGTGTGGGACTGAACGGAAACTTGTGTCTCATGAAACAGCTGTTATTTTTCAATGTATGCAAAATATGTATTTCTTCCTACGGTTCCTCGCGAATTTGTAACGATCGAACTATTGCAGGGACCTAAACTTTCATTTCAGGATGCTTTCGCTTGCACTTCATGATATTAGAAACGGATATTATCGAATAGAGCCTCATAAGATCAGCATAAGAGGGAAGAGCTGGAATCATCTAGATTCTAGATTCCTCACCTTTTCCATTAATCTCCTGTTCTTCAGCTGTAAGTTATGATGCATATCTCACCAGTGAAACGATTGAGCGAAAAACTCCTCTGAGGGTCCTTCTACTATTGCTATATTGAGTAGTTCATATTGATGAGAAAGCATGATATCATGAACTCTCATGTTCAGGTTTGAGGGTGAGACGATTGGCAGCCCATCCTCGGTCTAAATCCTGGGTCATCAGTTCGTATGGTGGGAACAACGAGGTTGCCTGCTGGGATCTGGAAACCCAATCCAGACAGGTCACTTTCTGGGCTTCCTCTCATGCTGCTCCCCTCTCCTACACGCAGGTAACTTTTTACATGATATGCCCACCTATAGACTTGGGAACAGCAGGATCTTTAGCTGTGTTATTATTGGTCCTATATTCTCCATGTATTCGCTTTGTTCATAGAGCCTATGAGTGATACTCCCATCAATATCACATGGGTAGGCTGACATGAAAAGCATTCTAAATCCGCAAATTTGCTTTTACTGTATTTTCTTAATATTTTAATTATTTATTGTCTAATATAGCCATATGTATATTGTACTCAAAGTCAATATTCCCATCTTCAACCATAAAGTGTTTTAGTTTTCTCTTCTTTGAACATTTTGCTGTTTACTTTAGATCAGTCCTCATGGAATAACTGGTCTGCACGTGAATCAGAGTGTGTCAAATCCCTTCTGCCTTCTGGGGAGTACAGATATGAGACTTCGGCTCTGGAACCTAGCAGCTCCATCTTCCACTTCTCATCTGGTGTTATCTGCTGGGAATGATCACCTTTCTAGCATTCCCCCCTCATATCAGTATGAATCTCAATTGCTTATTTTCCCTGGCCTAAATTGAATATTGTGCTTTAAAACTTTTACTGTTGTCATGTAGCTCAAGGTTGATAGAAGGAGGTGAAGTAGTTTGGGAGGACCTCCATCCACGTATCGACCCAAGTCATCCCAAACAACCAGATTCACCTTCAAAAGAAGACTCTAATGTGTCCAATGGTGGGATGGAGATCATTCCATCAGGTCATCAGGACTCTATCACTGATGTTGCTGTGATTAAAGCATCCCAGACCCTGATCCTCACCACTAGCAATGATGGCGTAATTAAGGTCTGGAAATAATTGCTATATTTGTGTCCATTATTGTCATGCTGTCTGAAGATTATATTCTGTTGATTGAAGCTTTTTATTGGTCACACTCAATCTGCTTCACCAGTAATGAACATGAATACATTCTTGTCAGAAGAGAGCATTGACATGGCCTTACTGGTACCAATCACACCAGCCAACTTGTGGGAATCGAAGCGAGAAAAGAGCACACTGCAAGTCATGTTGCTGCTAAGACCTCCACGGGGGTTCTGTAGACTTTCCTACAAACAGTGATATGAACACTACATGCCCATCCTGTTTTTTATTTATTTATGAGAATGAGTGACATGCACCAAATCTGCTAAACTAATTTGATCTCACAATAATCTCCTATGGGAATCTGTTTAACTGAGATAAACTTATTCCCATAGATGCCTGTTATGAAAACAAATAGGTTTAAAGTTAACTGAATCTGGTGCATGTCACCCAATAACTATCAAAAGTGCAATATGAGATCAAGCCATACCTGCATGAAATTCAGAATCTCTGAGTAGAAGTTTGGAAATGTTGGGAGGCCATAAAAGATCAGGTGGCGGATTCCTTTGATGCAGTACCGCTTGTAAAAATGGAGCCTCTCTGAGTACAGTAAGAAGTGCCTCTTGCTGTGATAGAATCTGTTCCGTGCACGTGCTATCTTGTCTGGCTGTAAACAAAGCAAAGAATGCTCTGGATGAATGCCAAAACACTGTGCTAACTTAGAGAAACTTGCTTGAAGAAAGTTCACTCAGAGAAGAAAACTAAGGGCACCACCCAAGTGCATCATATCATTGATGATCTAGGGAAAGGGTTAACATTGCAATATGGTACGTTTCAGGAAGTTAACCACTTTTTCAGAGAGAAAAATGAATGCCCTTCTACTATGCATATTTTTGTGCTGCAAGTTGAACATTCTCATTCTGGAGTTGAAGTAAAGGAGAAAATTATTGCTTTCCTGAAGAATGTCAAAATTGCATAGTTCCCCTTTATCCAGATCATTGATATGTGGCTGACCTCTGTCCTTTTTCTTAACAAAAATTTTTTGATGAATTTGCTTCCCTTTTTTTAAATATAGGAAATGCACTAAAATGATGCAGGACTTGTGGGGCAGTGTACTTTGAAATTATTAATGATAGCCTTGATATGGCCAGTAACTTACATCTGAATATTCACAGAGCTGTGTGAAGCTGATCTCTTCCTTCTTGAAGTAATTTCTCAGTTGCACAAAGTCAAAGTATGAGGGAATGTAGATCATGGTGTGGGCCATCAAACTCTCTTTGTACTGGGGAAGGACTTTGTTGATGAAGAACTGGAACCTGTCATCTGGATCACTCTGGGGATCAGTGGATAAGAACTTCTGGAAGACCTAATGCAAAAGATGAGTACCTATGTTATAAGAACAAACCAACTATGCCATAGATGATACATAAGCACAAACAAAAGGCTAACCTGAGGCACCTGCACAATCACTTGAGATACTGATCCAACTGTGATAGGGTTGGCAGTGCAGAGTTTCCCCTCATAGTTTGTGCAATGCCTATTGAAGACTGACAGAATTTCAGGAGTGATGATTGATGTGAAGATGAGAGTTTGGCAATAGTAGCGAGCCCAGCCATTTATGCTCCACATCCTAACACGGGAAAAGTCAATTTCCTTCGTGTCTCTTGGCTGGAGATGGAGGGACTTAAAGAGTTGGGTCATGTGCTCCCAGTTCTGCATGAGGAAAACTTCAGGCTGGTCAAGTATCAGGATCTCAATAGAGGCAAGGAAATCAGTTTTTCGTTCCTTATCACCTTCTGCTCCTATAAGCACCCGTAATCCCAAGGGGGAAGCCACGATGATGTCTGCAGTCTTCAGATCACTAAAAAGCTGAGGAAAGATACAATTGGGAATTTAAGTTGATGGATATAAGTGTTACATGCCATGACTATTCAATGCAAGTAACCTCACCCTGATGGCACTCTTAGTGATGTTTAAACCAACATTGAAAGCATCATCAATATTCCCAGCAAAAGTTAACCTGAAATCATCACTCAAGTTTGGCCTCTTCACCAGCTCAGTATCCTCAGATTCAAAATGATCCAAGAATTTCTTCTTATTGATGATATTCCCCTTGTGGTCATCAGGGAATAGTAGTTGAGACATCATCGTCACTACTCTGTGGAAGATAAGTTTTTCATTTTCAAGAAAGTTGGGATTTTAGGTTAACAAGAGCAAGGAACAGCAAAACTTTAAAAAGCCACCTGAGAGCTGATTCTCGGAAGGGCACAACGATCAGAATCTTGGGCCTTGCCAAACCTTGATCTTGATATTCAAGAACCTCCTCTCCTGTCTTCTTTTTCTTTCTCCACTTTTCTAGCTTGGCATTGTGATTGACAATCTTAGTCCTGGTTTTGAGAGCATGGTTGATGGCATGAAGGCAATAGATGAAACGAAGCTCTTCCCCATTGCTATGAGTTCGTTCTGTGAAGAGTAGGTCTGTGTAGGAGTTGATGATATGAAATACTGACCGTTGAAGGTCACTCAAAACTGACTTTCCCTTTTGCTTCAAAGTTGCTTTGATACTATTAGGAAGGTTTCTTGTGACAGCAGCTTTAATAAAACTTTCCTTCAGAATCATTCTTTCTGGGGGAGGAAAGACTGAGCCATCTTTCAAGAGGGAACTATGGAACAGATTCAATGGGGCCTCTCCAACATCTTTCTCCAACAAACCAATGGAAGGTACCCCTGGAGAAGCCTCCTCAGGACAGTGATAAAAAAGGCAATGACCCAAAGTCTGAAGCTCTATCTCTTCAACTTTCCATTTCTTGGATTGAAATAAGCTACTTTTCACAAATTGTTCTGGAAGCAAAGTCCCCAAGTGTTCATCGAATGGATCTTGCCCAGTTGTCTCCTCCTGTTGAAATTGGAGTTGAGATTGACATGTAGTTTAATATACAATCTTCAAATTTCTAAATTGTCTCAATTGCAGTCTTCTCTAAAGGGAAGGGCATTTGATGGAAATGGGGAATGACATTCACAGATACCTTTGAAATTTAAATTTATATACTTCCTTATTCAAGAAATACTCATCTGCAGAAATGTGCAACAAAATGAATGCCAAGCTTGATTTGACCCAGCATTCATATTGATCTCTAGCATTGTTTTTACTTATGCTGTCAACTTTATTGAGGAAATGAACAATTTATTGTAGGTTTAATCACAGTTTAAATGATAAATTGAAACTGATGAAATTTTAAGCAGTCTCCAAAGCTCCTCCTGAATGCTTTTCCTCTTAGAATTTCACTGTATAGTATATAGAATTGAAAATAGCCAAAAATGGTTTTGCTGTTGAAATAAAATAAAATGATGGATTGCAGGATATATTCATTTCTGCATGGCTTAGAAAATTCAGGAAAATATTTACTCTTTTTTTTACTGGTAAAAGAGGAATGCAGAACATAGATGGGATTCTGAGTTCATGAAGTCAACAATTAGTATGGTATTAGATCGGGATCTTTGTTTCACAGGTTGCTCCTGCAATTGTCTTTCTTCTTTTCTTTTTAAGCAATAAATAAGAGGTATCATTACTTTTCTCAATTTACTGATCTGCTTTTACTTCTCACAAGTGGTAAACTAACATCCACATGATAAGAATATGTGGTTTTATGCTCTTTAAAACTTGCAGGGAAAATTTCCACGGTGCTGGCAGTATCATGCCTTGAAACTTGACAAAGCTGTGCCCTCATCCTCACTTTTATACACAGAGTACAGGTATTACTCAGGAAATACTGAAACAACTTTAACTTTGATATGACAAATAAATTATAATAGAATGAGACAGAAATAATAGAAAAACTTAAATACATAATTACATAAAAATGCCTGACCTCAAGCTCTGACAATGATTCATCCTCCTGCTCACCCTCTTCTAGTTGAGGGCTTCCATCCCGTTCTGCTGACTGACTTGGAATGATATGGGTATCTGAATGTTTGGTTCCTAATGGGCGAAGTACCACTGACAGCCTTTTCAGTCCTTCAGCATCCCTAATACACTGCAAGAAAGCAAAACACTCCAGTAAGGGGCATAAATATGATTTATGAGTTCTTGCAGAGGTCCTTCAAATTTCTCCCTTTTCACACACGAACTCAGGGTTCATGAAGTCACAATGAAAGGACTTGCGTGGATTAGTATTTTTGGTCCACAAGTTCTTTTCTTTTTAACATGCATTCTTTAACTCAAAGAAAAAAATGACTGATTTGCTAGTTGGGTAGGGTACCAGTCACATCTGAAAAAATATTAGTTATAGTAAGGGTAATGGATGGGTAGGGCTTTGTCTGAAATGCTTATTTCTGCAGTCTTTCCTTCCAAGTGAGACCTATGTGTTGCGTGGTGAGGTCACAAAGTAGGGATGGTTTGGATGATGGTCAGTGGTCAGAACCTGTACCCTTGATAATAATCATTGGTCACACCCTCCCTACACATTTGCTAATAATAATAATAATTGGTCATATGTCAACTGTGGTAACCAATCAACCTCATTTGCTCCATCCAATTATTTAATCTTTCTGGTTCTGAGTCAGAGAACACTTGTTAAGTCAATAAATAAGAGGCTTTTATATAGTTCCATTGCATGGATGATCTTCACTTCTCATTCGTTTTCCAATACATTGTTTCCTAATTTTTTCAACTTGCAGAAAAATTTTCACTTTACCACTAGTATCATTTCTCACTTCCAAGAATCCTCATCCTGGCAGTACTTCAAATCTATGCCACTAATACTGTACCAATTAACTGTGTATGCCATGGAAACCTTCATACAATATTTGAAATTGAGCCACCTTGTAAAGGCAAATGAGAAGAAAATTACTCTCTTGTAAAGTCCTTCAGTGATTTTCATTATATTGGTATTCATACCATATTCATGATTTCTTTCTATAATAAATCTCACATCCTATCCTTTTGAGAAAAAATAGGAGCATCTCACCTCAGTGTCTAATGACTCTTGAATGCAATCATCCTTGCTCAAAAATTTGCTTCTCTTCTTTTTTCTTCCAACTTTCTGGATGGGCTTGACTGTTGGGCTACCTGTATTTGAATTCTCAACAACCTGTAAGCCACAATATAAACCTGTAGGTCTATTGTCTGAAGGAGCTGACACATGAGGCATGTCCTGCACAATTTTTGAATCTATTTGGTCCTTTGGTGGTTGAAAGACACAGGATGCATTCTTCTTTTGGTGTATCTGTGGTTCCTTGTCCTTGATATCCACTTTTTGCTTCTTGTTTGCCTTGCTGATTGATCTCTTCCTTTTTCTCAATTGCATCTTTTCTGATGACTTTCACTTCAAGTAATAAATACCACAGGTTCTATATAGGAGTTCCATATAAAAAAATTTATAGGACATCAAATACGGCAACATATGAGCTCTTTATTTGAAACATAATGACTATATTTGGAATTGTTCAATTTATACTTCCAATATAAACTCCCTTTACTCCTTCCAGCCAAGTTTGGTGCATATGTAGTCAAATATGTCCAAATACATATAATTATATTGGGTAGTTCTATAAGGGAGAAGAAAGGAAAAGACTTCCATGGGGCATGCTAGAATTATTTATAAAAAGTTAAGACAAACCTCTGACCCTCTGCATGAATGAAAAAACTTCTGCTCCATGGCAGACATTGCCTTGCAGGCAGTGAAACTAGTGGAATAAATGGAATAGGAAGCAGTCTGTTCCTGGGAGAATAAATGGAAGATGAAGCCTATCAGTCCAGGGAGTTTAACTTTTGTCAAGAAATCATCTTGGAGTATGGTTTCATTATTAAGTCCATCCAGAACTTGATCTGTTTTAGTTGCTCTCAATTCTCTATGGATACCAACCAGTATCATCATACTTTTTAGGTTTTAGGTGGAAGTTGGCTTAGGTGCTTGGTCTGACTCTTACCCTCCAGATCTGACATGGTTTCAATGTTTAGTGTTTAAGCAAGTGTTGTAAAAATTTTACTGCTAAGGAGTCAATATTAAATTTGATAGCCAACCAAGCAATTTTCAGTGCTAACATTTCTCTCATGATTTATTATATTTTGACATCAACTCCAACAGGTTCAAACTTTTAACATATCCCTTACTTACCTTCAAGGGTAAGTAAAGGACAGGATTTGGATTGTTTCCCTAAGTCCTGATAAAATCTCAGGTATAATGGAAATAAGAAGCAAGAAATTTATGTGCATGGGTTAACACAAGCAGTAAAGGGATTAAAGTTCATTCTTTGTATAAGTCCTGATATCATGGACGTTGGAGATGTTTCTAACACGGTGGAAAATAGGCTTCATAGCTAAGTAAGTTCAAGTTATTTGGTCAGCATTTCACTCAGGGTTAACAGATATTCAACTTTTTGAGTAAAAGATTTGACCTTTTTGTGCATGAATTTTTAAAGGCAAAACAAAAATATTTTTTTATTGGTTCAATGTTTAAGGTGGTACTCTTCTGTAGTAGTAGCATGTTCCACCACCAGGAGGCAACACTGAATAGATTATGAGTACTAGAGTGGACTGCATGCACCAGAAGTTTCAAGGCTTGTGTACTGTGGCTGAAAAGCCATCATGATAGCCAAAGTCATATCATCCACAACAATAGACATCATGCATAAAAGGGTTACAGATAGCAGTACTGTAAAACATTGCTATGCTGAATATATGTTCATTATTCACAATTTAGTAAATAGTAATTTTACAATCATGTTGACCATCTAATCATTTCAAGCATGTATACCTAAATTCTTTATTAGAATTCAATTATCCTGAAAAAAACCAACACATTAGAATATTTGTAAAAAATGTTCTTTGAGAAAAACCAGCTACCTAATACTAACTACCCAATAGGACAATAGGTGGTTTTGTCTTGCAATCATTGTGACCGTAGATGGAAACAAATTTTAAATGGTGGTTTCACAGAGAAACCACTTTCCTGGAAAGGATTAATCAAAAGTATTTCAGACAGAACTTTAGGTCACCATAATAACTACATCATGAACACCATTTTCATAGCGCTGACATCAACACAAGTTCAATATGGGGTTGAGGGCTAAACTTTTGGTTAAACCCTGACAAAAAATGCACTTGTTCTGTATTAATCAATTTCTTGAAAGCTTTTGATCCCATGGGCCATGATACATTAGCACTAGAGCTCGAAATGCAATATCACTATCGTTTCTTTAACCCACAAAAAAAAAGATTTTAATGCTGAAGAGAGTGCCACTGCCATCCTTATTCCTTCGCTGGTTCCCCCTCAATTAATAGTGTTGTCTACAATGGTTCTGTTCCATTGACCCTTACGTGGATGCTGTAACAGCAAACATTTTTAACTTTAGTGATACCCAATCTAGTTAATACTCGACACAGTATTTGCAAAATTTTCAAACTGATAGTCATACGCTAGTTGATCCTCAATAAAGACAAATAAGTGCAATCAGTCAGCCCTTTTATGGTCTCCTCCCTTCTGTCACATGGACAGAGGCTGCACGGAGGGGTCCATATTGAAATGGCTCCATTGCTGCGGCGAGGCACGTGGATGCTGCGTGACGAGACTGGCATCACGCAGCTTATCCCTCCCTTGTCGCCTGCTCAAGACCGCGTCTTTAGCAAGGAACAAAGCCAGGCTTAGTATAGGCCTATCTTCATTCTGTGTCTCATCCATTCAATAGCAGGATATATTCCTACGAGGTCCAAGGACGTGGACCCATTGAGTTCATCACAATGTAACTGTTAGTTCTAGGTCTAAAATACACAGGCACGTAGGTTAGACGCCTAACGCTAGTCGTTTGGACGTTTTCCTATGTCCTACTTACCAAATGGAAAAGCTAATGTATAATAGAAAGTAAGGAACTCACATATCCTAGACTTAATGTAAAAAAGTTAAGGTAATTGATCACTGGTTACATTTACATTTTCTTAGGTTTTAAGCGTTCTTCCTGTTAACGTTAGATGAAAAGGTCACTCGTTGTTTATGGTATGTTGGCATGGTTGACTTGAAGTCGGAAAGAATTTTGATTTGGAAGTAGATGCTAAGAGAGTGGATGGAAAAAATTTTCTCTTCATATCACATCTTATTCTCATTAGTCATCCACCAGTCAGTGCAGAATGCTAAAGGTCCCACAATTGATCAGGATTCAGTCATATTTAACAAATTTATGTTGGAAGAGGCAAAATAATAGAATCCTTTGACTTTCAGATCTGAAGGTCTTCAGGTAGCACCCTTTGTGCATTGCCTGGCCTGTTGGAGAAGATGTGGTGGATTGTGCAAGCCCTCAAAGATCCTGTTTTGGTGTGGAAGTTCCAAGAATATTTTGGGATTGTGAAGGTAAAGCCAGGTCCTCCAGCAACTGAAAATGGGAATGATCTCTGTTCCTCTAACATTGAAAGTGTTTTGGAAATTCAAAAGATGTTACATGAGAACCATAAAGTGAATGGAGACTGTTGTGCTGAGCATATTCAGGAGAAAGATGTTCTAGATGCTACCAAGCAAAGAAAGTTCGCCCACACCTTGAAGCAATCGTCTGATGATTTATTCAGTTCCTGCTCTGACTCTGATTCAGAGCAAAAGGACTATGAAGTCAGGAATTGGTTCTGGTATTATGCCTTCTCACTGGGAGGCTTTCTTGGATCTCCAGGATTCTATATTACATTTTTCCCATTTTGGTTCTGGAATGTGGATGCTGCTGTTCTTCGAAGAGTAATCATCATATGGACTGTGGCGATGTATATTGGTGAGTTCTTTATATGGAAACTGGTATTGTTCATTTTAGACTCATCACCCACTCACTGTTAGGGAGAATGAAACCAATTTCATCTTTGCCCTACAAGCACAAACACATTCCATGTTGCATTGAATATGAATGATGTGAGAGTGAGGTGGGTCATAGAACCCTTGGAACCCCTCCCACTTTTTAACTTCTGCCCTCATGTATTAGTACTGGATTTCCATAATTGATTATGACCTCTGTGCCTTGGCCTTGAGCATAAGTGCCTTTAATTATTCTGCAAACTTGGAAAAACCTGCACAAAAGTCATTCCATTCATTTCTCTTATTTAAATGCAGCAAACATCAGAGACATACTTGGAGATATGAGATAAGTAGATACTCCAAGGTTCAAAGTCTGGATTGGGACATCAAGAGGCATTTTAGACATTGAAACCATGAGTCAAGAGCCTGAACATCTTGTAAATCCCCCCTCCCCCAATGTATTCTAAGATTGATGAGATGTTCTATCTCTCTGAAGATAAATGTTTTTTGTGTGAGCTTTATATAATTCCTGCCCAGTTAAATTAAGCTATATTGCTCCCCTTATCTTTTGATTTGCCTATGAAGGCATCTAATCGCTTCTTTAAAGCTGCATTTGTAGCTACTACATTTTTGCCTTGCCTCTTCAACCCATCTACTACCTAATGTATAAAATTCTTATTATATTTATAGACGATCATGACTGAGTGACTGACACTAATTCTAACCTTGTTCTAGAGAAGTTAGAAATCTGAAACTTGGGACACATGTACCTTTTGGGATGCAGAGTTCAGAAAAAATAAAAATTTGGAGGTACATGCCTTGGGGGCACCCATTTTAGGGGAGATGTTTTCAATGGTATATATTTGCTTCAGTCAAATGGAGAGACATAGGAAGCTGAAATTTGGCATGGACGTGCCTACTGAGACACAAAGTTTGGGGAAAATGTCAAATTTCAGATGCATGCTCTGGGGGCATACTTTTATGGGGGTGACATTTTCACATAATGTTTTTTGTCCACTGAACTGTACAGAGATAGAATGGTGAAACTTGGCAAAGCAATAACTGAGGTGATGGTGAGTTCAGAAAAATTCAATTTCTGTGGTGCAGCTTTTGGCTATGTTGGCTTTTTCAAAGATATTTTCACATTGGCAATAGGAGCAAACGGATAAGGCTGAAACTTGGTAGTTCTCTGAATACTGATTACAGTAAAAGTGTTAATTTATAGGTGAAACCCTTGGCATATTTTTTGCAAAAGGTGCTTTTCCCAGAAACTTTTCCTGATTCAATGGAGAGAACTAAAGAAAGTTGAAACTTGTTTCGTCTCCCTGTGTTGTGATATTTCAGGGCAGTCAATGAAAAATATTGTGAGATGGCCCAGACCACCTTCACCTCCAGTGGTGAAATTGGAGAAGCGTTTTGCCCTTGAACATGGAATGCCATCAACACATGCAATTGTGGGAGTGATTGTCCCAATGGGGATTTTGTACTTCACCAGTGGCAGATACATTGTGAGTTTCTCACTCATGGGTACTTAGGAAAAAGTAAAGTATCTTTTAAACTTCATCAGTTTGACTGGGAGTAGTAGGACAAGGGCTAAAAATGAAACCACCTTAATTCAATGAGGGACTGCAACCACTGCATATTTGTTTTATTTTTAAAATTCTTTTCAGAAGGTTGATGATGGCATGAATAAGCATTATTCATAGCATGATTCAGCCAATTTGGCATGTTTGTAACGGAATAGATGAAGTCAGTGTAGATATATCACCTTAACTCCTTTTAACCTAGCATAACCACATGGTCACAGTGTATACATGCAAAATAAAACAGCAAGACATTTTGTTTTCTCTAAAACTAAGTTGGCTTTGCTAGACATATGCTCATTATTGATTGCATTTCAAAATATGTGTTTGGAAGCACTTTGGTATTGTCTTATTCTGGTGGTAGGACCAAGAAAAAACTTTCATTGCTTCCATTAAAAAAAATTGATTCAGGTCACCAAGGGTTAAAAATTCTGAGTGAAAGACTCTCAACGTTGTATTTTTTTTATTTCAAGAAATCTGATTGAACTGAACAGCTGGGGGGGGGGGGGGAAGTCATAGAAAAGACTGGGAGACACTAGTTCCTGTTTCCACAAAAAAAAAGCCTTGACCTTGGCTTTTTGAAATTATTTCTTTGAATTATTTTTTAACACTTTTTGATTTCAGTACTCATTTCCTCTGGGACTTTTCATTGCCATTACTTGGAGCTTGCTTGTGTGTGGGAGTCGTCTCTACCTTGGAATGCACACTGCAGCAGTGAGTCAACATCTATCAGAAAAATGAATCTTTATTGGAAGCTGCTTTGAAAATTTGAAAATTGATGAATGACTTGCTAAGGTGTCTATTATCTGGCATTTTAGGACGTGTTGGTTGGTGTTGCAATTGTGGGGGTGCTGATGCCTCTCATGATACCTGTGATAGATGACCTGGATCTGTTCATATTGTCCAACCCATATTCTCCTATCATTATTATTTCCCTTGTGATTGTGGCCATGATCATCTACCCGGACAGTGGGAAAGACACTTGGTGTTCATCCAGGTTAGTTTATTTTCTCATAGATGCACTGCTCCAAGTAAGGATTCTTTGGGAAAATTAGAATCATTGGAAAGGGGTGGAAGTATCAGCTTGGAATTCAGTAGCTTTCATTGGTGGAATGGATGGGATCAGAAATGCTTCCAGCAGTCCAGAGCACTATTAAATCCCTTCTGAATGCATTAAATTGCACTGCATGTTCTTCCTGAAGCTTGTGTTTTATTTTTTTCTGCCACTGTTTCCTAATCTTGCTTGTATTCTTCTCCATGCTATCTTTTCTTATACTTCCCATTTTTGTACATCCAAGTGTTGCATGCAAGGTGATATAGTGGTCCATATGTCATGACATGATTCTGAAGGGCCTTTGAATCCTTGTGTCTTTTTTGTGGGTCATTAACTTGGAAACATTGCTTTCCCCTCTCCTTTATTTTGAATAATGTCTCATCTAGGTAGTTCCCTTTCAGAGCTGAAGAAACAAAGAAGATGGAGAAAACTTTTTCATCTCTTCATTTCCAATAGATAAGCTCTCAATTGCCTGCATTCAGGAGTGGAAGTAATGGGGTACCCAGGAGAGCTCACTTTCCCAGGTCTTTTTTTTTTTCTTGTATGCTCCTTCCATGTTGAGGGTATATGGAGGGCAGATAGAACTTTAACCAATATAAGTGACAAAACCTGTGCTTTGACTGATTCCCTCCTGAGCCTTTCTTGCCCCTCCCTCAGATCTAAAACACTAATACCCTTCTTGAATTCATACTTAGGTCGGTTCACATGGTTTGGCATCATGACCTGTGAGTACTATCCTTCTGGGTCATTCCATTCCAAGATCCTTGAGGGTGTTTTTACATTTTTCCTGATAGTTCTTTTTAGGAAAAAGAACTGTCAAGGTCCCCCAGGACCTTGGTTATGGAACAGTGAGATTCAGTCATGGTGCATGTGTTTCATATGATAATATACAAATTTGTAAGGGGATCATCTGAAAAGTCTTGAGTATTGGTTTTTAAGTCATTTATTTCTCAACATACTTTCATGAAATTTCCAAAAAATGTTTTTAAGAATGATACCTTCTCAATGTATTCACTGTTGAGCTCAATGCACTTCTTCCACCATGGCAACAGCCTGTGGATGCCAGGATGTAGTCCTTCTTTGGTCAGGTCCAAGAGCAGCAATTGTAGGCCTTGCTAATGGCATCAACATCCTCTAGCTGTCGTGCATGCAGGCTCTCCATCACCATGGGAGAGAGGAAAAAGTTGCAGGGTGCCAGATCCAGTGAGTAAGTTGGGTGAGCTCCACATCCCAGTCCCAGTCTGTCATGACCTCCGGGACTTCGCACTTCCAGTGAGGAGTCACATTGTCTTGCAACAGAAGGATGCCTGTTCCAGCAGATGGGAGGGATTTCTTGTGAGTGGCTGGCCAGATAAAAATATGTAGGACATGCAAGCAGTAGTTTCCATTGACAGTTTGGTCTTGGAGTACTGTTTGGCTGTGGATGATACCATGCATGTGAAAGAATGTGATTAGAATCATCCTCAAAGAGGCCCCTGCCTGTTTTACTTTCTGCAATTGTGGTGATCCTGGACTTCACCATTCTGCACTGTCTCTTCAATTCAGCCTTGAATGAGGAGGCTCCGGTTTCATTGAAAATGATTCATTGGAGAGAGCAGTCTAGCTTCACATCAGTATTAGTAAAGATGTGCAGCAATGATGGTCATTCAGGCTTGCTAAAACAATACCCAAAAGGTAGAGGCATCCAGTGTGTATCCTGTGCTTCATACATTGACCTGAAACTTCATTTACCAAGTAGTCATATCTTGAACAAGAGTTTATATGAGTTTCATTCAATTATATGCAGTAGTTATCAAGATAATTACCAATGTTCAACACTTTTTGGATGACCCATATAATCATTTGTATTGCAGCACTTTGTAAAGAAAAGTTAAGGGAGGGAGAAGATTCATTGGTTTTGAAAAGTGAATCACTGCTGTATAGGACTAGGTTATGCATATTAGATCCTGTCTCATACCATACTGACTCAAAAGGATGAGGAATTTATGCAATATCTCCTCAAACATGAAAAGTGCTGCTGGTACAATTTTTTTTTTTTTACTAAAACTTGGATCCTTTAAATAATTTTGCCCTGCAATTCTGACTCTTTTTGCCTATTTACCTTATTCCTTTTTGCAGGGAATATGTGATGTCATTGGCAAAAGCTCTTTGCATTAGCATAGAGCCTATGATGCTGTGGGTCAAATTGTATGCCAAGCATAGAGCACAAACTTGATTTTGTATATTGTTAAGTTATAGCATACGAACATTCACCTGAAATAGAGGCTTCTGGCAGTGAGCTGTGAGATAAGTTGAATATCCTCAGGATCCCACCTTTACTGCCTTGGCATGGTAACAGCCTTATCATGCTCTTTTCACTTCTGACTTCCTGTTTCTTCTCTTACTGCACTTGTGCCATCTTGTCAAATGTAAAGCAAGAATCATACCAATCCTCCTTCATATGATACAAACTCAAGTTCATTTTTCAATTCTCTTGCAAAAATTGGACACCAGACTGTCTTTTTTGTGTCAATAGCAGCATAGATTTTGTATGCTTCTCTCAGATGCTGAAAAAGTGGTTCAAGGTACAATATGGAAGTGGAGGCTTTACAGTCTTGAGAAGAAAGCTTCACCAGCTTGTTCAAAAAGCCTCTGCTTTCCTCATTCATGGTTCTGGCACATTAGAAAATGACTGTGAATTGGCACTTAAGATGTACACTCTTTGGTGCATCCTCTCATCTGTGTCTCCTTGAATCCAAAAGGTCTTCTGGACATGTTTGCATGTGTTATATACACACATCAAAAGTTTTGCACTACCCCCAGATCTCTACAGGTTCTTGCCATTATATTTTTTATTATAACTTTGCTGTATTTCATCCAAATACCATCAACATTTTATCAAACATAACAAACACATATGGCAACAATATACTCTAAGGATTTTTCAAATGTCCACCATTGGCTGAGATACAGGCTTTTAAACACTTTGGAAAGTTGTCCACGATGGCCGTCAGCTGTTCGACCTTAATGTCGTCCCAAGACTTAAGGAAACCCTTCTTCAGCAAATCCACCCTGCTGAAATGGTCACATGCCTAGGGGTCCAGAACTGCTCTCAGGAACCGCAACTGTGAGCAGATTGCATTTCCCACAATGAGTGATGGTGTGGGCTGGGATTTGTGCCATGGGTAAGACTCCTGGTTTTTTTTGGAAAAAGGGGTGAAGGTCAGTGCAGCCATGTATCAAGACCACCTCCTGAGAGCAGTTCTGGACCCCTGGACACATGACCATTTCAGCAAAAATGAATGGACACCGACACTGTAACAAGACTGGGCGCCTGTGCACAGAGCGAAGACGATGATAGAGCTCTGCAAAGAGCTGTTTTTGCATCCGTGGGGGAAGGACGTCTGGTGCTCAAACCTATGGATTACACTGTGTGGTCCATTTTGGAGAAGGCCTGCTCGACACTGCACAGCAGTGTGGATCCACTGAAGAAGGGTTTTCTTAAGACTCTGGACGACGTTAAGGTTGAACAGCTGACGGCCATCGTGGACAACTTTCCAAAGTGTTTAAAAGCCTGTATCTCAGCTGACAGTGGACATTTTGAAAAACCCTTATAGCATATTGTTGCCATATGTGTTTGTTATGTTTCATAAAATTTTGATGGAATTTGAATGAAATACAGCAAAGTTATAATAAAAAATATCATGGCAAGAACCTGTAGAGATCTGGGGGTGGTGCAAAACTTTTTTTGATGTATGTTACATTTCCCTTCATCAAGAGGTGCATGAGTGTTTCCTTTCTTCAATGTGGTGCCTTTATAGTACAGGGTGTCCCAGAAGGAGGTTCCCAATTTTATTCTTCAAATCCATTAAACTTGCTCATGGTTTTAGGATAAACTTACTTGGGAAAGGAAGAATAGGCCTTGAAGTTATTTCTAATGTTCAATGTGTCCACTAATGGTCAATATACAGGCATGTAACAAAATTGTCCATCATTTTTGCACAAATTGCAAGTGAGACACTTTGAACACTAGTGGTGATGCATCACCACTAGTGCTCAGGGCATCCAAGGACTCTGGGTGCATAGCATAGACTTGGTCCTTGGTCATTTCCGAACCAGTGGGTCAGTTGTAGTGAACCCCTACCATGGCCACCAAGATCCCCCAACCTGATACCATGTGCTTGTGTGGTTTCCTCAAGGATAAGTCTATGCTATGCACCCACAGCCCTTGGATGACCTATGGCATCGCATCACCACTACTGTTCAAAGCATCTCACCTAGGGTTACCATACATTTGGTTTTTCCCAGATATGTACTCTTTCTTAGCTTTCTGTCCAAGAAGGCAGCACCCCTATGGATTACTCTATATCGGGATATTTTCCCTGAACATGTCTGCCTTTTTTGCCTTTAAATTTCTGTCCAACTTCTAAGTGTCCTCAAAAATGGACAGTTTTGTTACATGCCTGCAGAAGTATATTGACCTGGAAGGTGAACACATTGAACATTCGACAAGGCTTCAAGGTCTATCCTTCCTTTCCCATGTAAGTTTATTCTAAAATGATGCACATGTTAAGTTCATTTGAGGAATAAGCATTGGTTCTCAAATATTCACTATGGTCTTCTTGTAATCCCTCCTTGGCTTCCAGTCCATGTAGCTTCTGGACTTCTGGTGCCAATTTCCACACTCACTTCCACACTTCATTTGTTTCTGTTGAATCCTATCATCCCCACATATGCCTTCTTCAAATTAAGTTGTCCTTAATCTGGAGCCCCTGGTTCTTCTTCCTCATGTTTTCTCTTTTAGTAATTTCTGCATTGCTACCACTTCTTTGTTGGAATTTTGCATGGATAGCTTCATCTTCACTTGAAAAGTAGAAGGTCTGCAGTTTAGCAAGCTTTCATGTATTTTGAAGATGTTTTAGTTGGAAACAATCCCTACCTAGTCATGACTATCTCTGCATCTGGCAATACTGGTGCTTGGGTGGGAAATTTTGTGGACTTGAAATCTCTGCAACTTTGGCCACCCAAAACTTTATTTCTGCCATAAGCTCTCTCTCCAGTACATCCTATACCATTTGAGATGTTTGAGAATACAGTTAAAAAGGGAGGAGGCAGCAGTGTTATGACATTCCTGGCGAAAAAGAAGTGTGAAACCATGTTTTTCGAAGCACTGCAAGATTTTCTGAGAATTGTGAGAGAACAATATTTATAATTGCAATAAGAATAGGTCTACCTTTGCATTGCATTCAAATTGCATTTATTTCAGGTGGCTCCAAAAGAAGTGCCCAACTTTTAATGCTTGCAGCAAAGTACCATATGGGACATTGGCAAGAAATTTACAGGATATAACATCCTGTAAATTTTCTGTAACATGAGGTGATTTTGCAAAAACTCTAAATCCAATTGATCCATCAGAATACTGTACGAGTTACAGCTTTTTTCAGTGCATATCATTTTTCATATCACTCTGTCAGTGTGCAAATCCCAGATCCTTACTCTGTGCACAAGGGTACTCATCCTATCTCTATCCAACTAAGCAGATTGAGGCAGACAAACTTGCAGAAACTTGAAATTGTGCAGAAAAAAATCTGTTTCTTGGGTAGCAGGCAATATCATTGAAATTTTCATGAAAATCACCCCCATATATTTGATGAAACATTCTGTAAGTTTGGGATGATTCTTGGGTAACCTAGTGTCACTCTCAACATAGCTGGTAGCTTCCTGGAAATATAAGTGAGAAAAGGTTATTCATTGTTTGAATAGCAGCTCTTTTCCATGATCCCAAGTAAGAGAGAGTTTGTGTCTTTCCACTCAGTTGGACTGTGATTGACCAATTCCAATTGAGGAGTTTTCTGGAAATAGGGCATATGTGCCAAAAGATGCAATATGAGGTAAGTGGCAAAAACTTCCATTGCTAATTTGCAACTGGTCAAAACTCAGTTTTCAGTCAAATGGTATCTTGGATCTTTTTCCAATTGAACTTAGGGTTTCAATGAATTTCTTTACCTCACATTGCTGGGATGCAGGTAGAAAATGTTTATGCACATACACCCTTTTTCCATATCTGAGCTGCTGGAACTTCCTCCAGCCAGCCCTTCACCACTTCTTACCAGTTCAAAATTATATTTTACTGATAAATACATCTACAAATTTCAAATCAGCTCTCCTTCAAATGATGAAAATAAAAATGTGAATAATCAGGACAAGTTTTATTCATCAATTAATTCTCAGTGATCCATTTTAATTTATTCATCAACTGAATCTCCAACTGTTTCTTGGATATCGCCAACTTCTTGCATCCTTCCAGAGGCTTTGATGAATGGGCCTTCCCCCCCCCCCCCTTTCTTCCTGTCTGGTTTCTTTCTCATTTTCAGTTTCAGTTCAAAATAATGGAATTATTCTACCAAAATTGTTCAGTGGTACAGGTGCTAATACAGGGTGTTCAAAAAGAAACGTAACCCATTGGAGAATGCATGTAAATTAGTAAATGAGTAAATAACTATAAATAAATTCGATTCCTAATGTAACTTTCAACAATGAATATTCTTTCTTGAACTGTGAACACAATTCTTATATTTGATGATCACTGAAACAGAAAGAAATGCAATAGGTTACAATGATATATGCATTATCCAATGGGTTGCATTTCTTTTTGAACACCTTGTAGAATATTCATGGAGGCAGCCATATTGAAATAGTCATGCATTGGGCCTGCCATCAATTGAAAACTTAGGAAAATCTGCTTCTCCTTTGCTGAATACACATCTTAACTATCTGATTGGAAAGAAAGTTCTCGGAATTTCTTGAATATCCAGTGCAATTTTTTTCCAGAGCATGCTAGAATGTTCTGCGTGTGTTTATAAGTAGGTCGTGTCCTTCGGCATACAACCGTATATTATTACAGCCCTGGTGCTCTCCAGCCATGAACCAGCCTTGTAATAATTGTTCATGAAATTCCGAGAACTTTCTTTCCAATCAGATAACTGCTGACCATCCTATCCTATGACAAGTCACCTAAAGCAGCATGTGGATACAGATATGGGCACATGCACCCCCTTTCCAGAGAACTCCTCAAATGTGAGCAGGGCAAGCCCCATTATTAAAGAAGCAAACAATTAAATTCAGGGTTTGCATTCTGACAAACTTGGTAGTTGGGCATCATGTGAAAAAAACTAGCTTCAATTCTGAAAATCAATTATAATGATATTTTTGTAAATACTTAATGGATCAGGTATCCTACAGATACTTCGTGATGTTCCATCTGCTGACATTTAAAGTTGAGAAGTTTTTTTTTTGGACCACCTGGTATTACAAGAAGAGAAGCAAGCTAGGCAGAGGCCTATCAGATTCTGAGATGTTAGATATGAGTATTGCCTGGAGAACCTCAAGTCAGCCATTGAGACTCATGGTTTTTTTCTGCCTCCAGGTGTGCATGGGTATGAGCTGTTACATATGAGGGTTTTCTATCCTTCCCAGACTCTTGAAATGCAAGCTTTTGCTGTGACCTGCATGGCTTTGTCTTGGTCATAAAATCTCAATATATAATTTGCAAATTTCTTGCAAATGAGCATAATAAGCAATATGGCCACTACAATTGTACCAGTGATTTTTGTTAGAGTTAATCGAGGTTTATCAGAAAGGTCATGAAGGGTTAAGGTATGTTTCTCACTTTCAAACCATTATTAGGCTGTTGGAGAATATTAGGGTCCCCCTCCAAGATTGTTATTTTGGTTTCTGCATAACCCACCATTCTTGAGCAGTCTTTGAAAGAGTTGTTCTCTCTTTCTTTTTTTCTCTCTGTTTTTGGGGCTTTGCAGAGCAGATACGGTGATGATAGTTTGTGTTGGTGCTGGGGTGTTGGTGGGCTCAGCAATAAACTATCAATGGGAGTATATTCACCCATCTCCCTACCCACCACCTTACTCAATTGTGTGGCCCACCTTTGATATGGTGGGCCTTTCCCTCCTTCGGATGGCTATTGGCCTCATGATCCTCCTTGCAACCAAAGCAACTGTGAAGTGGCTTTGCCTAGCCATCCTGGAAGCCATTTTTCTAAGAAGACCCTTCAGTCCCTCCTTGTGGCGGCAAGATGTTGCCATCGAGTGCACCTACAAATTCTTCACCTACCTTCTGATTGCCATCAATACCTTATTTCTTTGTCCAGCAGTTTTCATCATTCTCAACATTGAACGACCTCTGTGGTATACTGAGGTGTGAGAATCAGTGTGTATGAAATTAGTTACCAAGTTCTTGCATCTCATTCTTATGATTTCAGTTATTTCCCTTCTCATGCTTGGGAATCATTCAAGCCTTTCTGAATTTCTTTGTTTTGGATCTATATTGAGGTAATACTCAATTTATAATACTTAGTCACTTAGCTAGAGAAGTTTTGTGAGATGAAGCACAATGGCAAGAGAATCCATTGATTCTTTCTTGCTGAGCTTATATTCTTTCAACTATCTGAAGAGGTATTTGTTTGGTGGCAGTGGACTACCTCATTGAAGGAGAACAGAACTGCAAAATTCATGATGTGAAGCTGGTTGCAAGAAAAATGGCCCATAGGCTCAATATCACCATGAGGCATGTGGACAGTCCATGTTCATGCTTCCTTTTCTTTTGACCTCTTGAACTGTGGATTTTGTGACAGAAGTTCTGCCTTACTGTGCATAATTTCTTTGAGTTGTACACATTGCCAAAAAAGGCAGCACAAAGGAGTTGAGAATACTGATGTTTGTTAACCCTTTTAGTGTACTGGGGCCAAGAAATCTGCAGAGAAAGATCTGCAGAAAGAAATCTGCAACATCTACTACTTCCAAAAAATGCTGTTGGCTGATTTTTATGCCATAACAAGAACCCAAACTATGAGAAGAAAGAAACCTTATGGAAGTGGCCAAAAAATCAGCCTTTGGCACTTATAGCAGGAGTACATATGGTCAAAAAATCAGTCCACAACACTAAAAGGGTTAAAAAGCTCTTGGCTGTGTTTCATGAAATTAGAGTTCCATGGTCATTGGATGAATATTCCGAAGAAAACATTCCAAACATTTAATTTAAATAAGAGCAAAGGGGTGCATACTAAATGCTTGAAATGATCACCCAGAAGGAGTTTATTAATGAAACAAGAAGCAGAAACACTTTAAGATGTATGGGAAAATCAAGCAGATTTCTAATGTGATTGGGGGAATCCAGAGGAAACTAGCCAAATGTCTGTGGAATGGAGGAAGTTGGCAGCACCACTGATGACTCCAGTTCCCTTTTCCCCACAAGTCCCTTTTGTATTAGGCTATTGTTGAGTAACCTGACTGTGAAGCCATGCCTTGATGAAGTCTCCAAAAGCAATTTCACCAACATTTTTAAGTGGTTCCTTGATGTAGGCCATTTGGTATGGATGCATTGGCTTGATGCATGGTAAACATCCCAATTAACTTAGTAACAAAACACTCAAACAAGTTGGTGAAATTAAAGGAGGTAGTGGCAGGAGGTAGATGCTGCCATGTGATAACATCTGATTTTATAATTGCATCCATCTTGACTTTAATACTGATAGCTCTGAGATTGAGCTTGTAATCATGGCTTTTTTTTGCTTTATTGTTAATATTGGCTATTACTCCCCATCAATTTTCCGTTTCTGTTCTCCTTGAATGAGGTGAACTATTTATGTCTACATCAGCATGTTACCCCTCTAGCCATTTCAATTTGCATTTGTGTTTTATAACTCTGCCAAAGTATTTTTATGCCCATTTTGATGACTGTAATAGATGGTGAGCTTTTTGGCTTTGTATGAAGGGCACATGGGCCATCAGTTTGAGATGCAATCAGATTGATGGCTCTCCACCTGTTCTTACTATGCATTTAAAGTTGGTTCTATTTTGCATTTTCATTGTGGGTGCCACAGGTTAGCACCAAATGCTGGAATTGACTTTTTAAAGGAGCCCATCCAAGAGTATCAAATTTGTCAGCTTTTTCATCTCTTAATCATTGATATTGGATCCAGTGATGAATGTGTGATGACAATTTTGCAGAGGGAGCTTTGACCAGTTGTTGGTATCTGCAACACTATCCATTTCCAGTTTTAATGGTACAATTTATATTTATAGTTTTCCATGCTTCTCTACAAGCTTGAGCCATATGCTTAAGGGGATCTTTGCTATTGGTGTATGTTGAAGACCACATAATTAGTTGCTTGCAACTTGTAGGTGATCCTCATAGTTTTTTTATATCCCTAGTCTGTATTGTCTGTTGCATTCATTTCATTCATTCAATCTCTCAGGTTCCTATGCATCATGTATACAGGGTGTTCATATTTAAATGCAACACAGGGAAAATTTAACCACCTGTTTGTGGATTTAAGCTAAGAAAAAAAGGCTCACTGGGTTGCATATCAGTAAGGAAACCCATTATCACAAGAGACCATAAATTAAAGGGAAGATGACCACCTGAGTCCCATCATTTGTTGTCATGGTGCAATAACCTTAGGCAAGCTATCTCAAGATGTGATCCATGTTTGAAGTCAAGTATCGGGGATGAATGCACTGTGGTGCATTGCCTGATTTTGCATTCCATGCAATGAAAGAGGTTCTATGGCAGACTTAGTACTTTCATAGTAGGCTTTCTTAATGGATGTAGCCTGCTTTAACAGATCCAATCCCATGCTGAATGGTGAACCACAACAATATGCAATATTGGTCTGGTAAAAACTCCTATTTTTTTATCTATAGAACATACACTAAGTCAAAGGGTTGTTATGGCTTTCTTTGGTATTGATGGTGCATGAGGGAAGGGCCAGGAGTAGAAGCATCCAAGGATGGCAGAAGTGATTTGAACATTTTCAAGTTTTCCCTCCTTGGGAATGATGTTTCCTTGAAGGTAAGCAACCCAGTGAGCCTTGTGACAAGCTGAACTCCATAAACAAGTGGCAAAACATTTTCTATGTTGCATTTAAGTATGAACACCCTGTATTTTGCTGCCTTTCTGTACCATGTGAAAACTTTCATTCATGTTGCAGCATACTTCTCAGTAGGTCATTTCAATTTTTACCTACACAACTTCTGATAAAAATTTGCCTCCCATTTCCAAGAGCTGAGGTGAAGTGGCATTATTTAAGCAAAAGTGATGATGGCAGTGAGCACCAGTGAATATGAAGGATAAGAAGAATCAAGATTTTTTTAGAAGTTAAATTTTCAGCTCCAATTTTTTAAAAAACACTTTTGCAATGTTTCATGAAATGAATTTCATATTTGTTTGACTGGGTCATCTTGCGTAGTGTTGACATCTCCAATTGGTTTATTCCTGGAGTGAAAGTCCAGATTTTAGCATGAATTTACTATCCTATCTAGTCTTTTCATTCTAGGGTAGACTGGGTACAGTGAAAAATTTGCTCAAAAATGACCTTAAGTATATATTTACTACAATAAAAAATGCAGTAGTTGAGATTCCCTTGTGTATCATGTATGCATCCTGACACCATTGACATTTATCTCATCATCCTTTGATGTCTACATAAAGAAAAAAAAGGTCAGGTTTGGCATTTCTTTTTTAACCCTTTTATTGCCAGGGGAACAATATATAGTCATTTTTAGCTTACGAATTGGCTGTGTGGTACTAAAGGGGTTAATGTTATATGTTTTTTTATGTAGAATGAATATGATATAGCTGTGGTGTACTGCACATATTGTAAGTTTAAAAATTTTTTCCAAACCTAAAAGCTTGCATTGTGACCATATTGAGATTGTGTTGGGAAAAAATTGCTGGGACTCAGAAAAAAAAAGTTTGCAACTAATCTGACGAGAGAAGTGCTGTTCTCCAGTTGGAAAAAATTGAAATAGTTATTGGAAATGGAGAGGGGTGAAAAGGGAATGGAAAAAGGTCAATCTTTTTTAGCACGAAAAGGGAAGAGCCAGTTTTTCCATTTTTTCTTTGAGATCAAAACATGTTCACCATGAAATTTTACAAATGAAAGTATTTCACTCCCCCAAAATTTTTCAAAATTGTCATGTTCTTTTTCCTTTAAATTTTATTTACAATGATGGAATGATGACATTGGAATAACTGATAGTTGAAGTTGACCTACCCACAAAATCTTTATTCAAGATGACAGTTATAGATTGGTGGAAAACTCTTCTTGTCAGACCATTGTACAAACTTAAGTGAATATTTTGCATAGGTTCAATAACTCAATAGATGCTCAATCCTGGTCCTGATGTAATATGAATTTTCAAAGCATCACAGTGGCATGGTCTGGTTTAAGTCCTGTAGGTGATTGTGATGCCTTGTTAATTTTATTTGTTTGGATTATTTATTTTGGATTTTTTTAAATGGCATAATTTCCAACAAATTCAATTTAATTAGCACAAGAGTGTATTGGTTACCAAAGGGAGACTAAAGGTAACACTAAGAATTTGATATATAACCAAACTTGACTACCTCATTTAGGCTGATCTGGTCTATCCTTGTTTTTCTCTTTGTATCTGGTATTCATAATACTGCTGCTTGACTTTCTTCTGTAGAATTATTATTTGTTTTTCTTTTGCTTCCATCACAGATGTTCAGGGCTTTGGAACAGAATGGTAAACTGGACTGAAATGAAACATGTAACAAATTCACTGATGGCAGTGGAAGAAATGCTGAAAGGGAATAAAATTCTTCATTTCAGAAAGTGAAATTAATTTTATTCCATTCCTTTCTGATCATTTTCTTGCAATCCTGCAGAGTAATGTTTTAGAACTTTACCTGGAGTTTCAATCTATACTTTCTGCTTCTCTGTTAGAGAGACATCTTGGATTAGTTCATAAAAAATTGAAATTCTGGGATACTTGAAATAAAATTGATGTCAGCTTTTCTTCTTTATTTTATTTTTTCATCTCTGAACTATATGCATTGACCATAAATAGTGTGGTTCTGGGGAATGTATTATATTAGCATACTTCCATGCCAATGAACATTCTGGCATTACTATTGCACTATTTGGCTGGATATATATGACCCTATAACTTTTCCTGATTTCTTCTAATTAATAGGACAGAATGGAATGGAACAATTTTTTTTTTAATGGAACAAGACACCAGAGCATCTGACTACTAGTCTGAATATGCTGTAGAAGAACATGGGATGAAAGAATACTGTCCCAAACCTTGCATCTGTTTTCAACCATTAATTGCATCTGCTTTTCTTGCAATGTCCAGCTTCACCTTCACAGCCTTTGCAAAGAGCACTAATCACTAT